CCGACGCTCCAGAGTCATCTTTTTACCGACGCCCCTGGTAGATTGATGAAAGTTGTCATATCGGTGATTTGAGAAGCAGACAAGCCCCGAATCGCTATCCACCTCCCCATGTAGCCTCGCGAACGGATCCGTCCTGTCCTCGGATCCTCGCCCGCGCTTCCAGCATGGATGCCCCGGAGGGTCCTAAAGTCATGCGTCGTGGTTCAGACGACGTGTCTGACTCATCCTCAGCGGCGGATTCGTAGTTTGAGGACGCAGCTTGGCTGATCCTCGGCGACGACACTGGATCCATAGTGCGCGACCTTTCTCCGGTGATGGACTTAACTCTGGCAAAGAGGTCCCGCGTCGCGGATACTATGAGATCCAGGTCTAGCTCGAAGATATCCTCTGCTTCGAACACACCAGCTACGATGCCTGACTCCGTAAGCAAACGTAATAGATCTTTGACTGCCACCAACTTGTTCGCCGTTTTCGTTGGTGCTCTCACCGGTTCCCTTGGATCTTCGATCTGTCGTGGATTCAGGATCTGCATGACAGGATCTTGATGCAGGAAGTCGCGTAAAGCTTGGTGGCGATACACAAACTCGAGATCCTTGTCGGACCAGCTTGACCTGGATCCAGCTTGGTCTTCTTCCGACTCTGGAGCTTGCATCTTCTTCCGCGTAGTCTTACTCGTTTTCGTCTTCTTTCTTGTTTCTTCGACTAGCGGGCTTGGGTTTAGGTACGGTGTTGGCTTAACCGGTGAATCTGCAAATGCATACCGTTTCGCCTTCACTTTCCCTTGTTTTGTTAGCGGATCTTGACTTGCGTCAAGATCCGCAGGGGTCCCCGAGGGGACCTGGGGAGGATAGAGAGGTTTCTCTTCTAGATCCGGATCCGGATCCACCTCTCTTCCGTCGACAGAGTTCCTCCCAAAACTCCATCGATCCGCGGATCTTGTTTCATTCAGCAGCGTCCTCGTCGATCCGACCTCCGACGACGCCTCTTCCCCTGGCTCAATCTTCACTTGAGCATCTTCTTGGGACTCACGGTGAAATCCCGAGTCACCAAAAGATCCGGGCACGCGCACCATTGTGGTGTAGCGGGATCAGCAAAATCTGCGAGATTGCCAGATCCAACTTACCAACTGCGCCCAGACACCGACTAACGGAGGGGGTCCCCCGATGATCCGTGTTCTGCTGAACTTTCCTCACCTTGTGTACCCGTCGGTAGGGCGGGATCTGCTCTCTCGGTAACTTCCGAAGAGTTCAAGTGGTGAAGCTTGAGTGTCTTGGCGAGACGTGGGGATGGGGTGGAGCAGCAGTGGAAAATCTTCACTCTGCGTCCGTGGATGGTTCCGTATCCTAAGCGAATATTCGAGCTTATGGATCCGGGGCCTAGATCGTGGATCTGGCCGTAGGGTTGCCTTGCGGGTGTGTTCCCTTGCCTTTGTGTTGTCCTTTAAGTCGTACTTGCCGCCTCCTGTGACGGGATCTTGAAAGTTGAGAGCCTCTAGGGTATAACCGACCAAGTAGTAAATTCGGTTAACCTGTCGGATCTGCACGAGTAAGGGAAAAGCTCACTAGGTTGTAGGATCTGGCCAATGTATTATCCAGTTATCACTACCAACACTAGATTCGCAATTCCCAACCTTCTCGGAGCTCGTACGGCCAAATGTAGTTCCGGTTCTTGAGGGCAGGAAGGCACTTGCGTGATACTGTGCAAATTGAGTTCTGTATTGATATTTAAGCCTATACCTGCCTGGGTTTCTACCTTCTATGTCTTTCATCTGCTAAATCCCTTACCAGGCTCGGCTGCATGTCCCTTCTTCCCTTGACCCATCATCCCAGCTGTGTTATCTTCAGATCCACCGGATATATGACGTAATCATCATGGTCACCCTATTATGGGTACACTCATCCGGATCCAGGTCGCTTGGATCCACCTCACTGTAATGGTACACTCGCCGTGGATCCGAGCTCTCCAATCATCCAACATCATCTCGCAACCATCTGTGATCTCCGTTGTCCCACGGAAGTTCGAGATCCACTGTATCCTTCATCCCTATACCCTGGATCCAGGTCCCTCCAGGCGGGATCCTCCCTCCTTGGATACGAACTCGGAAGTATGGGATCCGGGGTACCTCGCGGTGGATCTTGACTCTTCATTAGCCGTGGCTACTAGATCCACCGTCAGAGGGCACCGACCATCCTTCCTTCATAGGATCCACACTCGATCCACTCTTGTATAGTATATCCCATATCCATCTTAGTGAATCCAGGTAAGGGTGGATCCGAGGTAAGTCTTGGTGGATCTTGCCTTCTCGTACATCGCTCATATCAGATCCATCGTCATTCCATACGGGGTGCTGCTCGCCATGGCTAATCCACCACAGGCAACTTGCACCCGTGCCAAACAACCCAAATCCCCTATAATCACTTGAAATTGTCACTGATTCGGGATAGTGACCCCGCGTCAGGACCATTCTCTTATTTCTGAGAAAGCACTTCACCACAGCCGCAGGCCAGCGACAGCGACGTCCGGTCGCAGCTGGACCTCTTCGCGAACAAAGTCGTTGAAGAAATGTAGGTCCTCGTCGAAGAGTAGTAGTTGTATGTCCTCAACGAACGCTAGCTGGTCTTCTTGCTCGTAGCTGTACTGCATGAACGCTGAGTACTCTTGTAGACGCAGGATCCACTGCAACCATTGCTTGCAGGTTCCTTGTCTGAACACCGGTACTTTCTTCTTCGCGGTGGTGCCATTTGCCTTCGTCTTTGCAAATGTAATATCTTCAGCCATCTTTGAGTTGTAGTATTGTCGTAGGTCATGCTACGATTTGATATATCAAACTGTCACGTGGTTGACCGTCGATTTGTGTTCTTGGTGGTAAATCCACAACTGAGTTCGAATTAGATGCTTACAGCTTTGCTACTCGCTCTGCTAACTAGTCCTGCTGTCCTAGGCGCTCGTAGTGCTAGCTGTCTAATCCTACTTCAACGTCAAGCATATGTAGTTGCCTTCCTTCACTGGAAGGCTGGTCAACATGGCGCACCTGCTGGTCCCAGGGAGCAGCACGTCACAGACTGCGCGGCGGTATAGCTACAGTAACGCAATTATTACGAGCATCGACATACATGTATTTGAATGGCACAGCAGTGACCCTCGGTCCTTGAAGCTGATGCTTATCGAACTACTAATAATCTAATAACGCTATTACTTGTGACGAACAATTCAGGGGCGATTAGTGAGATTGCTCGCTGCTCGGTGACTGTACACCTAATCGAATGCTTTCAATGAAAGATCTCTGCAGCCATTAAAAGGCTTTCATTGGCAGCAGGAATCTAGGTGCGAAATGTTTTTATGGAGACGAGCGCAACATTTCCGTACCCCAGTTTAGGTGGCGGGGACCAGCCATTTATTTTAATTTGCTCAGCAGAAGCGTAGTTTTATTAGCAAGGTTTAGGGTACAAAGAAGGCGCATTAGTCCCTTTCTTCGTGGTTGAATCTAGGTGAGACCCACTACATGTACTCTGCTCCCATTACATGTAAAAGAAATTTACATTGAATCAAACAGCATAATTCACCCCATTTTTTATAGTTGAAAACGTAATTTGTATGGTACAGACGGTATCTGATAAATTCTTATTAGTAAGAGCTTGCTTGCGCTGACTGGACCAGTTAGTTAACACTTCAAACTCAAAGTTTTTTTACAGAGCTTAACACAAAAAGGTTAGCCGATCTCTTTCGTTCAGTGCTGACTTTGTTAGATATGAATGTAGGATTACCACTCCAATCAACAAGTTAGGGCGCTTCTGTTGTGTTTGCTTAAGTCAAAACACGCACATCACATATTTCCCTAGGCTCGACCATCGTCAAGTGAGTTGCCGGTCCAACGCAAAATATATAGTGAGCAAAGCTTTTATTTTAATTTTAAAAGTACGAGTAGCAATTATTTTTTCTTTGCATTCTTTTGACTCTCAGGTAGTCAATAGTTTCCACGACTCGGAGTCAGCATTAAAGCCCCTGTCATGTTGAGGGTGTCTGCTGCTGCGCATGAACGCCAAGGCTTTGGCCGCTTTGCGCGCTGTAGTTCAACCTGAAGTCTAAAAGCTGACAGCGACTCCCTGGGGATCCGATACAATTGCTCTGCTGATAGAGACTCTCGTCTAGTTCAGAGCTGTTCGGTGTGCGACCGACCTCCACAACACACAGGATCATCAACGAATTTCTGAGTTGGCCACGAGGAAGCAACATGCTGCTGCACTGCAGCGCAAGCGAGTTATTAAGAGTCGGCATACTTGTATAGAAATGAAGCAGCTCAAACGCATCCGTGTGTGCAGCAAAGCCAACTGAAGTTTTGCAGCAGTTTTTGCAGCCAAACTAACTTTGGCTTGAAAATGAGTGACGCGGGAGAGCTGTCATCAGTCTGTACCGAGGCAGAAACGCCCTGTCTCTGCGCTTCAAAAAGAAGAACACGAATCAGTGTGAATTTGCCAAGACATGAAATTGGACAGTAAAACCTCCGATTAACATGTCGCCGAGCCTATGAATTAGTAATTCACTGTCTCGCGCGCTAAATTTAACTAGCGACGGCGGGAACTGCTCGACTCTTCCCGTTATTTTCTCTCTGGAAGTATCGGCAAGGGTCAAGGTAAGCTCGCTCGTCGGCAGGCTCGAAGGAAGGCGCAGCATACGCGCTTTGGTCCACCCGCAGTAGACTCCATACTAACGTCCACCCCCTCTCTCCCCAGTGAATCCATACGTCATCCAATGGGAACGGGAGAAGCGCTGCACATTCCAAGACCCGACCCCAACACCATGAGCTCGTACCTGCCCCCGCAGAGCAGCGGAATGCCCTACAATTCAGGAGCTAACGGCATATCCGCCCCCTCTGGCCGTCCGGACGGTCCCTCAGGCGCCTTCATGCCGCCTCCACCTCCTGGATCGTGTCTAATGTGCTACAATCCCAACGTGGACGTGCTTCTCGAGCCGTGTCACCACCAATTCCACGCTGGCTGCATCGAACGCGCGCTCACTAAGGACAAGGTCTGTCCTACATGCTGGACACCCATCCAGGCGCCACGTCGCCTCATGACTCAGCAGTACGCGGCGCAGATGCAAGCGAGTGTCTCCCAAGACAATGGTGGCTACCCTTTGGACAGTAAAGCGCACGTGCTGGACGGCACCACGCATAACGCAGCAGCGGCTGGAGGAACTCCCACATCCAGCGCAGACGGTAACACGCCACCAGCCAGTAATCCGCCCACCGCAATGCGCAAGGGCAAGTGGACGGCCGAGGAGAGCGCCTACTGCGACCGTCTGATCGAGGAGTTCAAGAAAGGCAATTTACCTTTAGCCGAGGGCACGACACTGCGAACTTTTTTATCCAAACTGCTCAATTGCGACCCAATGCGCATCTCTAAGAAATACACAGGCGACCAGTGTATTGGGAAGATCATTTTCCGACGACGTGAGGACGAAGTATCCAAGGAGGACATGGAGAATATCCGTAAGGACCTGGCAGAGCTGGAGAAAACCTACTTGGAGAGAGAGCAGTACAACCAGCGACGACGCGAGAAACGACTCGAGTCGGAGCTCTCTAGGGACAAGAATCGCTTTGCGACGGCCAGATCCATTGGCTACGCAGCAGCAGCTGCAGGAAACCCAGCGGCCATGAGAACTCCGCAGCCACAGCCGCAGCAACACCAACAGCAACAGCAACAGCAACAGCAACAGCAACAGCAACAGCAACAGCAACACCACCACCAACAGGGTTATCCCGCTGCATCCATGCAGCCAATGACCAAGCAGGCGCCTCGCCCAGTGCCCGCACAGCAGCCTCCCGCTGGCTACGGAGCTTCAGGGCGACCAGGAGCGATGCCCGTCCAGCCACCTCTACACCCTCCCCAACAGAACACTAACGTCTCTTCTCATGTATTTAATGGCGACCACAACAACGTGTCGATGCTAGGCATTGCTGGATCTCAGACGCAGGGTCCAGGTCAGCACGCCCCCAACGGGATGCAGGATAACAAGCTTTCCAGCAATAGCGCTCCCATGGACGGCAACTCGAGCGACGCGTTTCCTCGCGTGTCATCTATTGACAGTTTTTCGTGTCTCTTCCCTCGTGTGGCCAGTATCGAGAACTTCCAGCATTCGACGTCATCAGGCTTCAATGGGATGAACCCCAACGCCTCGTACGCGTCGACGGAGACGCTCAACACGATGACCAGCTCTGGATTCGACGCACAACATGCCAACTTGCCCAAGCCGCTGTCTATTGGCGAGGGTCTGAACGCCTATTTCCCCCGTATTCAGTCGCTCGAGCAGCTGTCGAATTTGCTGCAGGATCATGGACCCAACAGTCCTCGTGCTGCTTCTTCGGCAGCGCAGAACCCTCAAAACTCCATGGAAAACGCAGCAACCCCCAACAAGCAACAGGACAAGGACAACGCCACGTCGGGAGGCGTCCGGAGGAGACTCGGTGAGATTGGGATTAAGGAGGAACAGCAGCGAGATGCCGTCGTCAATGCTCAGAGTTGTGACACTAGCGGTAGCGACGAACACAGTGCCGTGTCCACTTCGACGAGCGTGACGACTTGCTCCGCTAGCACTGGAGCCTCCAAGCGTCTTAGCCCCAGTCACAATGCGTCGTCAGGCTCAGGGAACCAGATTCAGATCCCCAAGCCTCTGAACAAGATGCCGCGGAGCTCGTCAGGCATTTTTCCGCGTGTGCCGTCGATGGACAAAATGCCGCGTGTGCCCTCACTTGACAAACTTCCGCGCATTCCGTCGATGGATAAACTTCATACCATGGGAGGAGGAGAGCAGCGTATCCCCAGAGTCCCGTCGAGCGATAAAATGGCGCGTGTTCCGAGCTCCGACATGCTGTCTCGCTTTGGCTCTGGCGACCTCAGTAGCTTTCCGTCCTTCTCGAACCTGAGCACCCTATCGTCCAGCGCCTCGTACGACAAACTGAGCTCGCTGGGCGGATTCAAGTCTGGGTTCCCGCGTAATTCTTCAATTGAAGATATCTTGTCGCTCGTGGCGTCGTCCGAGTCGACCGGTCTTCCTTCTAATGGCTCGGCGATGCAATTGAGTGCGCTGGCTGCAGTTGCTGGTGAAGAATCTTCACACTTGGCTAACGAACGGAAACGTCGATTGGAGAACTCGCAGCAGGAGGCAGCGCTGACAGCAGATAACAAGAAGAGCAAACTATCGACGTGAAGGTGAGAGACTCACCCTTCACAGTGGAGGATTTATAGATATGGCTATTGTCTCGAGCTGGTCGAGTGGAGAAGGACACCCTGCACACGATATAATGGTGGCCGACCACTTGGACAGGCATTATATTCAGTGGCGGAGTGCTCCTTCTCTCAAGCTGTTTCTTTTTTTTTTTTGCCTTTTTTGCCGGTGGTGCTCGTAGTGTAGTTAATGTAAGCGCAAGCAATACCTATTAAACTTTTATTTGCATGCCACTCGAGTTTTGCAAAACGAACATCTTCTTGTAAAGCCACTTCACAATGAAAAATGTACTACGTCGTATTACTCTTTGGTGAAGACCAGCCGTTTAATTTAAGGGGCCCACGACTCATGGCATGAGCGTCACCAAGACAGTTCTTATTAATATCACCGGCAGCAACCGCGGCTTCGGCCTCGCCTTCACGCGCCACTATGTGGACAGCGGCTGGAAGGTTATCGCCGCCGCACGCGACGCCGAAGGCGTCATGATTAATTTGGCTGACACTTGTATAATTCATGTATCTTAGTGCTTTGCACTTCAGTTGAAGGACTTGGCGGTGTAGAAGATCATACCACTGGACATCAGCGATGAATCTTCTATCGCCAAAGCGGCCGAGGCGCTCACTGACTAATAACGCAGGCATGGGCTGTGGAGGCAGAATCGCAGACGTTACCATTACCAAGGCTGTGTGACCTGTCGACGTTGAAGTTGGCGGTGCCAAGAACTGCACAGCTACAGTGGGTCACAGCATAACTGGCAGGTACGCTTAACATGCTCAGCAAGAGTCTCTGGGTCGCCTTTATGGACGACAAGATCGTCACACTGGCACTGCGCCCCGGATACGTCGTCACGCGCATGACAGGCCATGAGGGCACAGTTACCACCGAGGAGAGCGTCACCGGTCTCGCAAACGCCAGATTTCAGGACCGTGGGGAATACTTCAGGCTTTGTGTTGAACAGGAGCAAAGGGAATGAGGCCGTCTTCCGTGGCAAGCCAAACATTTTCCTCATTCAGCTTTGAGCGTCTTATAATCCTGAGGACGCCTCTTTGGCAGAGCTCTCAAAGAAATTATTTTTTTCATTTTTTATTTGTCACATGCGTCACCTGTGGATGACAACATCGCCTTCATCCACTGACCGTCGGTCCACAGGACACACTCGTTGGTACAGTAGCCACTGCGCGATACATTCAGCATGAAAAACGTGGCCACAAGGCAGGGCTTCCACCCTCTCTTCTTCCAAATTGCCTTCCAAGCAGATGACACACACATTCTGCTCTTCGTCCTCACAGCAAAACGTCACTTCTTCGCGACTTGTCGCTACAATCGCTGCAGTTTTCGCTTTCCGTTGACGTAGATACGCTGTCATGTCGGCTACGTTCTTCTCCGCCAGCCGCAAAGTCGACGCCAACCGGCCTTGCGTCCCCGCGAGAGGACCTGACAGCCTCCCACTGCCACTTTCACGCCCATTCTGCTGCAACGAGAGAGTCACGACGTTGGCAATTTGCTGCGCCAGATGTGCCTTGGCTGGAGCCTCGAGTCCAACCTGCCGCCGCGGCCGTCGGCGCACTCTGACCGCCTCCATAATATTATCAAAAATCATTTGCTGCTGGAGACTGGCCGTCTGGTAAACCCTGCCAACTTTGATACAAAAACAAAGAGGATGTGACACGACATGGCTACACCCCGTATGTATTGCGATGTGACCTGGTTTGGTCTTCCAGCTCTCCCGGCATTTACTCTTCATCAATGGACTTGTGTTTCTTGTGCGATTTCTTCTTCTTCTTCTTCTTCTTGTCCTTCTTAGAAGCCTTCTCGCCCTCCTCGTCCTCCACGTCCGAGTCCTTGCCACTGAGCTCCTCGTCACTAAAGTCGCTGGATTCGCTGCCAGAGGCGTCGCCAGGGCCAAAGTCCGAGTCTTCTTCGTCCTCGTCGTCTTCGATCTCTCCTTCCTCGGGCCCCAACTCCTCTAAATACTCGTTGAAGTCGCGTTTCTTCGAGCCCGACTGGGCACTAGCAGCATGACTCTCCTTCAGGTTGCGGATGCGCAGCTTCTTGGACGTCAGGAACTGACTCAACTCTGGGAATTCGCGTCGGTCGATGGCAGAGAAAATGTATTCGCGCGCTGCCTCTCCGCCCACAGACTTGCAGCTTACGAGCAGGTCGAAGTTTCGACTCGCCGAGGATCCGCTCTGCCCTGCATACCTCTGAAACTCGATGTAGTCAATCTCCTCGTAGCGAATAAAGGTCGTGGGTTTGTGGATGAACATGAACGACTTCTCCAATGGGAACAACACGCCACTCTGAGCTTTGACGGCACATTTGACAGCACGTTCGCCACTGTGGGTCTTAAATTTGCCCGAGGTGTAGACCTTCTTGCCGATGATGAACTTGAACAAAGTCGCGACAATCTGAGGCAACGCGCCGGACATCCGTTCGTGGATGTTGCCATTGTACTTTTTGATCTCCTCAGACGACATGTTGACGTCAATGTGCACGTCGTTCTTGCTCAGTTGCAGCACCAAATGAGGATAACCCTGTTTACCCTGTCGAATGGGCTCTTCAAGGCTGATGACGAAGGCCGTGTTGATGCCATTGGGCAGTTCCAGTAGGAAGCAGCGATTGATGTTGGAGTACATGATCTTGTAGTCGAACGTCTTACCGTGCATACGCAGGAACGAGCCATAGATCTCGACGCCATAGCGACCACGAGGGGTGAGGAAAGTGCCGATCGTCTCGTCCAGATCCACGATACTCTTCCCCATGACACTGCGGATGTTAGCCTTCTCCAGCACCTCCTGACGGAACTCCTCGGCTGTGACAACCTCCTCCTCCCCGTCACCAGGAGGCAGGTACAGTCTCATCTCGACGAGTGTCTCCTCATCCCCTGCCACTGTGTCGTCCTCGTGAAACTGCAGCTCCACCTCGTTCTTACCGGGCAAAGCGCACTGAGAAATCTGTTCTAGTGGCAATTCCATGACACTGGCGTTGGCTGTGCGGAAATTGAGGTTGGGGCCCTCGAACTTCATGTCGCCCCAGTTGCCACCTCCTGCGGCCACCTTCTCCTGCTCCAACTCGCGGTCAAAGTGGATCTCCACGTGGCTCTTCAGTTGCGCCACGTCCTGTGCCTTAAGGCCTGTGAAACGCACGTACTTGCCGCCCTTCTGGTAGACCTTGAGATGGTGAGTCTTGGGCCCCACAGGCGTCCACAGCAGCGTCACAATGTCATCTTTCAGCAGTTTCTTCTGACTCTCGGTCGTACGACTACGCCAGAGCAAGCCAGAGGCGGAGAGCACCAATACACCGGCGCTGTGGCCCCAGAACACGTTGCTCAGCGTTGTGTCCGACATGGAGATAATAGGTGGAGCCGCGATAAATGAAGCAGCCTTTTGGCGCGTTGGAATAGCGACTTAAGGGAAACTTATAAGTTACTTCAGTATTTTTCTGACGGTCAAGTTAGAAAAACCGACGAGAAGATGCACTTTCTGTGCATAGCCAAAATTACAAACGAATCAACAATGAGAAACTATCACTTTCACATTATATTACGTTTCGGCTATAGACTCTCTGGAGAGAGTCTCTGCAGCACCATAAACTCTTGGCAGCACCAAACTTTACGGTACCAGCACAAATAAGTGGGCTGTCTGTGATCTCCCGTCTATTTTCTGTATGTACAGGTAGTTGAACCGTAGAAGTAACCAATCAGAGGCGAGGAAACATTATAAACACACTATAGCTCGTATGACAGGTCGAGAAGAAGTAGAGAGATAAAGAAAACGTTACTTGTAGGCGTCAAAAGACGAATTAAGCACTTTATTAGTATTAGGAAGCCACCAATAGCTGTACACCAGCCATTAGAGTTTGTATAGTTTAAGTCAGTCATACCGACTTAAACAGGACCTCCTAAATCTCATTATTATATCTTTAGGGGTTAAGTCAAGGTAATCAAACTGTTTAGAGGCTACTTCAACTGCCTCTGAACATATTTTATAAACTGACAGTTCTATGTCATTATAGACGTAAGACTTTCCGTTCAAAGGACATTTCCTCAGTCCTTGAAACGCATCCAAGGAAATCGCTTAGGCAAGCCGATCCGACTTTGCCCTGCAGTTTTCTGCAAGGAGAGAAGGACGATAAGCGACACGCCTGGTAGGAACTCATGGATGGAGCCCAACGTACCGTCTATACCTGCCGCTGCTACAGTGCCCGCCAAATCATTAAGACCCCCGATTTGGCGGGACAATTCTGACAATATCTCGGCTTCTAGCCTGAGTTGAGAGCTGCTACTTTGATATGTTCTCTCTATTAGGCTTACAGAGGTGCCACTTGTGTTAACAACTTAGATTTCTATGTATCTGACAGGGCTGGTATACAAATTCAAGGTTTGGACATCAGCGTCAAATTATTAAGACCACATCCTTTTTATGACGGAAAAACACTTTTATGAACATACCTTACAAATTTCTATATTAAAAGAGTGATGGTCAAAATAAGTAGATGGTTGGCGGAAATGAGCGGGTAGCTAGACGCTACGGAGGCTGTGAGCCTTTCATTTTCTAATGGGACACGGCACGACCCTCTCCCAACAAGAGTACTGGCTTATCGTCGGTTTCCACGACGGAGGCGTCTCTCTGCACGAGATCGCTAGGAAGGACAGGTCGGTCCCGTACGTCCGTCCGGAACGCAGTCAAGGCGGAGCGGGGACGGAAGGAAGACAGGGGTGGAGAGCGAAGGGCTGGGCGGCAACCGGCACTGACGGAACGAGAGCTGCGGCAGCTTGTGCGTGCCGCGGCGACAGGTGAGTTCTTTGCTGCGGAGCTCAAGACGAAGTTCGGCATCAAGGCGTCCGTGAGGACGATCCAGCGGGTTCTGCAGCGTGTGGGCGGAAGATTACATACTGAAGCCAGGTAAGCCTCTCATATTAAAGTTTTGCTGCAATTTTGTATTATAACAATATTTATTTTTTTAGAAACTTGGATTTACACTATTTTTTCAGATGAAAAGAAGTTTAATCTAGATGGTCCTGATGGATTCAAGTATTACTGGCGGGACATGCGCCAGCCTGCACAGTCTTATCTGCGTCGCCAAAATGGAGGAGGGAGCGTCATGGTGTGGGGCGCTTTTAGTGCAGCAGGTAAGAGTGAGCTGGCCATCTTGCGTGGACGTCAGAATTCAGGTGACTATATTTACACGTTATCTGAATATCTACTCCCTTTGGCTCACGCTAACTATGGTGTTGACTTGGTATTCCAGCAAGACAATGCTTCGATTCATGCCTCGCATGAAACGAAGCAATTCTTGCAGGAGATGCAACTCAACACCATGGCTTGGCCAGCTCGCTCGCCTGACTGCAACCCCATCGAGAACGTCTGGTCGGCGATGGCGGCCAAGGTGTATGCACATGGCCGCCAGTACCAAAACGTTGCTGATCTGGAGGCAGCAATCATGGCTGCATGGGACTCCATTCAGCTAGACTACTTGCTGAAGCTGATAGAGTCCATGCCTCGCCGCTGTCTAGCGGTGATCAAGAAGAAAGGTGGTCTGACTAAGTACTAATTTTTAATATAGAAATTTGTAAGGTCTGTTCATAAAAGTGTTTTTTCGTCATAAAAAGGATGTGGTCTTAATAATTTGACGCTGATGTCCAAACCTTGAATTTGTATACCAGCCCTGTCAGATACATAGAAATCTAAGTTGTTAACACAAGTGGCACCTCTGTAAGCCTAATAGAGAGAACATATCAAAGTAGCAGCTCTCAACTCAGGCTAGAAGCCGAGATATTGTCAGAATTGTCCCGCCAAATCGGGGGTCTTAATGATTTGGCGGGCACTGTACGAAGCAGGCTCCCTCGCATGGGTAGAGGCTATTTCGGTGGGCACAGAGCCGTTTCAAGCTGCAAAGAGCGCTTCTATGAGGGAGAAGAAGAAGCGGGAGTTGCGGACAGCACTGCAGCTTGCGCCAGTTCTCATGGCCACGCTGGAGGAGGGGGAGGAGGCTTCTCGAGCACACGTGGCCACTACTCCACCAGATGTCACTATAGTGGAGTATTTAGTGATGATGTCATTTGTCACACTTAAACCACATAATTTACAAATTAAGAACCGAATGTGTCTAGTGTCACAAATGCTGATAGTGAAAGCAACTGAGATGTACTGGCGTCTCTCACAGATTTGGTGTTATGCATGGATTATTATTGATAAACTCATGTGTCTAGATAATTGGGTACTTGACCAGGGAAACCTCAACGAGGGAAAACCTTGTGCAAACAAAAAAGAATAAAACCCAGTGGAAAAAAATTCTAAAAAGAACGCAGAATATAGACACGCTTAATGCGCTTGTATTTTCAGGGTATTTCTAAACTGAGTAGCCGGATTCTGCTTTCAGGGATTTCAACCTGAGCTTGGTTCTTAGTTCTTAGAACTGGTGCTTTTATAAAGTTTAAGTAAAGAGGTCAGCTATCATCTCTTTCGTATTGCAGTAGGTGACGTTGAATTCATGCCGCTCTACTTTTTCTTGTACGAAACAGTATCGTAGGTGTATGTGTTGATCGTCCGTGAAGTTCGGGGTTGTAGCAGATTTTCATGCAGCTCTGATTCCCCTCGTAAATATCGTTAGCCTGCGTTGTAGCAAAGCCAAGTTCTTGGAGGAAATTTTTGAGGAATACCAACTCTTGCACGCAATGGCATAGGGCGATATATTCTGCCTCTGTTGTAGAGAGCACTACAGTATGATGCTTTCGTGAAAGCCATGAGATAGGACTGCCTGTTTGCATTGTCACGTATCTTCCAACGGAGCGTCTCGTTTCGAGACAGTTGGCGTAGTCAGAGTCACTGTAGGCAATCAGTCGATCGGCTAGGTTTTCCGAGGAGATATCGATCGAGCCTCCCAGAAGAAGACCGTATTCTTTCGTTCGGGATAGATACCTTAGACCATGGATGACTGCTTTCCAGTGATCCATTCCTGGACTCGCTAGGAATTGGCTGACCTCTCACATGTAAAAGGCCATGTCGGGTCGAGTGCCGACCATTAAAATACATGATACTGCCTACGGCTTGGCGATAAAAAAATCGATTTAATCGCATCTTTCTCTTGCTCACTGCTAGGCTGGCTGCTTACGGAGAGTTTGGCGCTCCGTTCTGCTGGTGTTGCAATAGGTACGGAATGTAGTCGCTGAAGCGGTTAATGACCTTCGTAGCGTACTTGTGTTGGTGGATAAATATCGTTCGATCTTTACGGTCATGTTGAATGGACCAATCGAGTAAGTACTTCACCTCCCCTAAATCTGACATAGAAAATCGTTTTTTCAGGGCTGATTTCAGCTCATTGACGAGTGCTGGTGTTGGCGCAATGATCAGTATGTCATCGACGTACACTGCAATGTAACAGGCGATGTCACCAATTGTGCGTCGAGCGATACATCGATCTTTTATAAGTTTCAGGAACCCTAGACTCTCCAGGAAGGCAGTCAGGGTTTGGTACCGGGCACGGGGCGCTTGCTTCGGCCCGTATAAGCTCTTAAAAAGTTTACACACTAGGTGCTCCTTGCCCGGGATTTTGAAACCTTCCGGTTGAGTCATGTAGATCTCCTCTTCCAAATAGCCATTCAGGAATGCTGTCTTAACATCCATTTGGTGATCTTCAAAGTCGAGAAGAGCTGCAATAGTAAGAAGAAGTCTAAGTACCTCCATCCTGATGACAGCAGAGAATATCTCGCTGTAGTCGATGCCATATCCTGAAGGAATCCTTTCATCACAAGACGCGCTTTAAAGCGGTCGATTTCGCCAGTGCCGATACACTTCACAAAAAAATCCATCGGCTACTTAAAATCTTCCTTTCTTTAGGAGGGGATACCAACACCCAAGTGTGATTGTCCATGAGGGACTTGTATTCCGATTTAGCTGCTTTATGCCACTGGTTAGCGTGGGAAGACCTCATTGCTCCCCGATACGTAGTGGACTCAGACACATACCGAATAGCTAGCAATGTGTACAGTAAATGGTGACGTTGCTCCTGTTCGTGTATGTCTTCCTCAGAGTTGAGGGTTACGTCATTGGCTTCCTCAGAGCTATAAATGGCTTCCGAAGAGAGGCGGAGACGCTTAGGAGTCGAATGATGCGGAGGATCAGAGTCCGTCTCCGTTCGAAAAGAATAATGTATGGCTGTTCGATCAATAGCCTCCCTCAGTGAGGACAGTGTACGTTGGTTCACTGTGCCTGGCGCTGTTGTCATTGCAGGGCCTGAGGTGGGTGACTGTGTGGTCACTGGTTCTGACACATGTTCAGGCTCCGGTGCTACTGTAGTAGCAGTTGCAGATGACAGAGGTACAGGTGCAAGTGTAGCGGTGGATTGC